GCACACACACACACACACACACACACGCACACACACACACACACACACACACAAATGCGCATAAAATAGAGCACAAACAAGACTCACCCTAGTTTGATCGCATGCGATCTCGCACGCGCTTTGCCTGGTCCGCTGACCACCATAATATCATCATCATCGGCCAGCATCGGCCCGGCAGATGCAGCAACAGGTCATCCTCTCCACTGGGAAACGAGTCAATTCCGGAACCGATTCCCCCACGATTAATACTACGGAAGTAAAGTTCCGTCTCCTTTTTTCGAAAACCAACGGTTACCAGTTACTTTGATTAATAAAATCTTCTTAAAAAAAAAAAAAAGAATTCATTTTTGAAAAATAGAAGTTGATGTTTCGTAGTGTTCCGAAATCAAGGTTATCCTATATCCGGAAGGTGTTCGGAGCCAACCAGGTAACCACCGGAAGAAATCACATCAATAGAAAGTAAGTACTCGGGTTCGGAGTCTATATATTCATACAATTCCTAGCTTTCAATAATGGGGAACCTAGGTGCCTACAGAGGGCTGGCTAGCTACACACGGGACACAGCTAAGGGCTCTCCTACTCCTCCTCTTCCTACCGGCTCATAACTTGCTTAGCCAGAAAATCTCACGTGCCAGTTACAGGTTACACAGCAGACACCCAACCAACCGAAAGTCTGTCACTGGCGAACGTTTGGTTCATTCTTCCTCGTTTGATACTGTTTTGTTTTGTTCTTTTCGATTTTGTCCAGCAAGATTGTCAGGAATCTACGTAGGATTTTTTTTTTCCTTTTTAATCTCTCCACACAGAAATAAACCTCCTTAGATTATCAAATCCAGAAATAGGACTGTCCTCTCTTCTATATTCTGTTGTTTTAAAAAAACTGCCGTTAAAAAAATCCACGAAAAAGCCAAACAACGGGGAACATAATAATATGTACATCTGTTCAAAAGAAATCCCCCCAAAAGTAAAATGTCCTACTGCAATGTCACACGAATCCACCAAAACGACAATACAGGTAGTGAAGTAACGAGAAGCACAGGTTTACTTAAATGAGGGAGAAACGCTCCCCCCCCCTCACCCCACCCCCACGAGAAGTGACCTAGGAGATGGTTTCAGTCTGGTGAAGAAATCCAATGGCTACTAATATTAGTATAGACCCGAATGACTGAGAGAGACCCAAGTAAACAACGAAAAGAGTAAAAACTAGTACTTAAAGAGTATGAAGCAATCTAGCATTGTTTGTATTTTGGTAAAAGTTTTACGGCGCTCGCAACTGCATACGGTCACGTGAAGCAGCTTAGTTTGGATAGACAGAGAAATGAAATGCAAATTCTTAACGAAATGAAAGACTGAAAGAGTTTCGCCAGACAGACTTAAGTTAGGTTGGATATAAACCGACAAAACCTTGCTTCAAAGGCACATCCTGCTTTAAAAAAATAAAATACCAATAACCTTCCCAGTGTGAAAGCGACTCCTACCTACTATCAGAATCCTCTGTGGCCCGTCAGAAGAGAGACACACATCTAATACTCTACATTCACCTGACTGATACACAAAATCAATACCTGAGCCACAAACACCCCTCCCCCTAGC